GAATTTGAAGGGTCTATAAGAGATAGGACAGGCCAAGAAGGACATGGGTTGTGACAGTGAGAAATGATTTGAGGGCTCGCAATTAACTACGGATACATCTTTTGACAAGATGAAAGCGAAACAGGATTTTTGCTGCTGACTCCTATTAAGGCATATTTCTTTTTTTTATTTTTTTCTGACTGAGCAAAAATTGGGATAAGGGTTTGTTGATTATAGATACAGTATATCCTAAAAGCTTCATTGAATAGAGGGATGGTTCTATTACATTTGCATTAATGCTTGTCATATAACCACCAAGTATCGGCTACTAATAAAATTAATACCTGTGAATTATAACTGGTAAGTGACCACCCTTGGGAACTGCCCCACAACATCCTAAACGTGAGATCTTTGATAAATAGCTTTAATATGTTTATCTGTGTCCAATGGTAAGTAAATTCATTGGAGGACTCACCTTCTGGGGAGAGTTACTTGACAAGACTTTGTATTACTGAACTAACTGATTGGGTTGAAAAATCTTGTTGGGTTGTTTGGTATACCATCTTTTTCTCTCTCTACTATTTATTTCTATTCTAAGAAAGTGATGAAAAGAAGGATTGATGAAAAAGGAAGTCAAACTCATTCCTTTAGATCTGTATGGAGATTTCAGTGGCTCTCAGTATTTCATAAATCCATGTGAATCAGAACGAATTTCATGGGATCCTCCAGCAAGACCTAGCCTAATAAATTGTTGAGTTAATCGAAAGGCTCACAACATTGAGCCTATGCCAGCAAGCCTAACAAGTAGACCTGTTAATGGGCCGGGCTCGGGCTTGATTTTTGTCAAAATTCTAACGGGCCCAGCCCAAAGCCTGAGCCTGATACTGTAAAACCTAGCCCAAGGCCCAGCCCGTGAACAGTACTAGCAAGTTGGTTGTGAACTCATGTGGATCTCATGTGATATGCAAAAGATTCAATCTGAATCAAATCTTCTCAAGATTCCCATAGTCAACCTTGTCGTGTTTTGACAGGATCCTCGAGATTTTCTGACTATTTGGAGGATTTAGAAAATCAATTTTCTGGCATGTATTTTTTCATTTTTAGGAAAATTAATATATTGTAGATACCAAGAAGAGATTCTGAGTCCTCTATACAAATCAATGTAAACACACTTTTGAGAATTGATAAAATGAGTGAATGAAGAGTTTTCTTCACTGATGTGTCTGGGTGCTGACTCCGAACATAGAAGCTGCTGGCTAATAGAGAGTCCCAGTGATGCTGACTTTGTTAAGAAAATAGGAATTCCATTTATTCATTGAATCTTAGTTTATTTAAGTTTCTGTTTCTACTCTTAGATTTTTTTTTTATTTTATTTATCTACATGAGAACCCCACAAGAACTTATCTGCTTGCAGTGGCACAAGGATTGAGACTGAAAAAAAAATTTCGTAGGATTTAATTCCTTAGTTGTGGAAGGAGATTTTTTCCTTTCCCAAAAAAGTTGTGGAAGGAGATTCTAGAGTGGTAGTGGGCTAACTAAAGAACAAAAGTTTAGGTTCATGGCACTATTGGAACACAATAGAGATGGTTTTAATGAGAAATTGGAATTGAATTCTCATGGATCCATAGATTAAGAAACAATTTGGCAGATGCACCATTGTAAGAGGTAGTAGGATCAGGTATTTTTGGGATGCTTTCAGCATATTTGTATTTAAACCATTCTTTTAACCCCATCAATAAAATTATTTATTATTATCCATGAAAAGAGTTATTATAAATGTTGATCTATGCTATCAGACTTGAACCTGTGTCCTCATGCTTGTCAGCCCAAGATACTAACTATCATTGCACCAAGCAATGGTCCCATATCCTATCATTTGCAATCTGACGGAAATTTGTATTGTTGATTGCTTCCCTTGGCCAAACCACTTTGGAGCTTTGTGATTATATTTCACTTATTTCTTGAAATGCTAACCTATCAAAATAGAGATCTTTAAATGCTACATTTTCTTCTGTTTTTTTCTTTAATAAAAAGTTACCTTTGCTTAAAAAAAAAAGTATCATGAATGTGCAGTCAGTTTTCTTTCTTTGCAATATAATACCTTACCTTAAAAAAAGCATCGTGTATGAGTGGCCTTGCAGCCACGATGCACTGAGATTAAATCTTTTGTCACATTGATTTGTAATTAAAATGGAAAATAAAAACCTTCAGGAAAATAAAAATGTATATTTATACAAGTTTTTCATATCCTTTCTTCTTTGCAATCATGCCACATTTGTAAAGATTTTCACCTAGGAATCCAGTTCTTGTCATAGGGGGGACAAAGCTGTAACGTCTCAGATGTGTTATGCAAGTGATGCAATAACATTGTACTATCATTGCATAGATCCTAACCCAAAAATATATTTATAGATATTACTCTTTCATATTTGGACTGGGCTTGGATCTTGGGCATTTAAGGACATTAGCTGGTTGGATATCAAGAACCAATGGTATGAGATTGCGCAATGGCGATTTTCTCTTCTTTTAGTCAAGTCGTGTGGGGTTGACTTTTATTGCATTTTTTTTACCTTATGTATATCAGACTATTCACTTTTGTGTGTGTGCACGAGGGGGCAGCCATGTAATAGTTTAAAACAGTTCAGTTATTTTAAAATGTTTATTCTTAAAAAATCTCTAAACTCGTACATGTTTGTGGTTATATTTACTAATTATTTATCTGTGTATATGCTTACAGAAGAAATTGGGGCTGTATCCATTTTGATACGACTCTGTTTCTTGGTTTGTCCTTGTTTTTTCTCACTTTCTGGATCTGTTTGAGAAGAGAGTGGAGTAGGTATGTGAAGTGAGTGGGATTAAGTTAGTTTTTTCTTTTCTCTTTTTTGGTGGGGGGGG